TTGAAGAGTTCTCATGAACTAAGTTCTGATGAACCTTTGTGGGGAAAGTACTGCGGTGTGAAAGCGCCTAATGTGTTTTTTTTAACCAATCATCTCTCAGAGGGGCGTGGGGAGGGGCTCCTTATTTTTCATTTAAAGGCTCGGACACACCAGGCCGATTTTCGGCGACGATAGATGTCTGGCCGTCGATGAGCGTCGTGTCGCCCTACTCAGATTGGTGTGTCTTGGTGTGTACTGCACCGTCGTGTCTTTTCGGCCGTGCCGACACCTTCCGCCGCCGATTCGACTAGTTGAATCGGGAGGCCGTCGGCCAAAGAAATCACTCTGATTGGCTGTTCAGCTAGCGAATCAGTGCATGAGAAGCGAAACGGAAGTGAGGGACCCAAACAAACTATTAAGAAGGCAAATGTGAGATTTCATTGAACTCCAGCTCTCGACACAGGTTAGGGAAAGCCCCATGAGCTTCTCGCTGTAGAGTGAAAATGGAACGCACACGCTATTTGTTGTTTTTTTGTATCACGTTTGTGTTCTTCTCTCGGTTATCACGCAGTCTGTCTTCCGGTTGTTGCCTCTTTTGAATGACGAATACACACTCCCGCCGCCTGCTGGTAAGGAGAGTTATTGCCACTCACGCATACGTGCTACTTGGCCGTCGGTTGAAGTCTTTGCGGTGTGTTCCAGTGCGACACATGGCCAAGACGTCGGGTCCGTCGGGTCCGTCGGGACGTGTTCTTTGGTGTCAGTTTGGCGTGTCCGGGCCTTAAAGTAACAGACAGAGAATCAGCACTTTTGAAACAGGGCTGAAACAGAGGGGATTATGGGTAATGCTGCAATGATCTGTTTGGTCTTTCAGCCAATCAGAGACAGGCTCTGTATATATCTGAGACCTATAATAAAGTGAAGAAAAACAGTATAATAGGGGACCTTTAAATAAACAAAATGTCTGCTGTTTTCCAGTCATAGTGATCCTGTTTGTGATGAGGAAGCGTTACCAGAAGGACTCTCTGGTCAGTATGAAGAACAGCGGGGAGATTCACGAGCAGCTCGTCACCTACGATGAAGAGGGAGGAGGAGAGATGGACACTAATGGGTAAGTCAATACAAAAATTATATAAGAAAAAACACTTAAGTAATTTTATTTGAAATTATTATTGTTGTGTAATTATTATAAGAAATATATGTAGAAATAAAACAATAAAGTGATTTTTTTCTACATTAAATTTGATATTTCACGCATCTTTTTAGTTTTTATATTGATATTTTGCTTATTTGATTATATAATTGATTTGAAGTTATTATTATATTAGAATTATTGTATTATTATTTATTGCTATATTCTTTTATTTTTTATATTATCATTATTATTAATATTGTTATTATAATTGTATTATCATGAATTTTATGGTTATCATTATTGTAATTATAGGTTTTTAAATACTTCTTTATATTAATGTTCTTATTTGATTTAGCGCTATTATTTATATATTTTCAAAAACTCATACCCTATTTATTAACCCTCTCTGATATGCAATATTTATTTCATTTTGCTTAATCTGTCAATTTGATGACCCAGTTTGCGAAAAAGAAATGATTAAAGTTTAATCTCATCTGAATCTAATCCTATCCTTATTTAAACAGTACTAACACCACATAATCCCTACACACCATCATAATAACGCCAGCATACTGTTTGTGACAACCCGATCCGCATCCCTACCAGATCCGCATTGCGCATGTGCGAAATGGTCCGCCATATTGGACAACTCCATACAGCAACTCAAATAGGACACTTGACACAGTGGCGTTTGGCAAAGCAGAAAAAGGAACCTTTTATTGGGTTAAGTGCATTGTCAGAATAACTGAGAAATGGATTTAACTTCTGTTAGACAGCTATCACACTGAAGAAATATTTACTGTGAATGTATGCACAAATGTATGGCATTCATCATTGATATCTAATTACATTAACTGTGAATGTCTTTCATTTTATTTCAAATTAAATAAAATGACATAAAAGATTTTCTTGGGCATCCGTTTAAGTTTAAAACTTGTGCATGCGCAATGCATATTGGGCAGCCGTCTGTGTTAAGTGTCCTATTTGGGTTGCCGTATGGAGTTGTCCAATATGGCGGACCATCTCGCACACGCGCGGATCGGGTAGGGATGCGGATCGGGTAGTCACACTGTTTGCTGTCAAAGGACATGAAAGCAAAGTGGTGGACACAAGCAAAGAGTAAAAGACAAGCAGCATCAATTATTATTGAAATGTATGCTCCTATAATATGAAATATGTGCTCTGTTGGATGCTTTCTGAATAACGTATGTTTTAAAATGATAAAATATCACTTCCTTATGTGAAATTAGATTGAATACTGTAGTCAATCATCTTAGTGTATAGACTTTCCCCTATTTTTCACTGATTATTTGGCTTTTATCGTCATATTAAGGACTAAAGTATGTGTTTACCAACAGGCAAGACATGGTTCATTTGACTACAACTCAAGCCCAGTCTGCTCTGATTGGTTAGTTGTTCGGCTCTGCTGGGATTGGTCAACCGCTTCCGCTTAGTGATGTCCCGCCCCTTAGCCTATCACGTACACATAATGATGTCACTATGCTACAGAAGTAAACAAATACGATACGATAATACTTTAATGGTCAGATCAAGTCTGAAATTTGACTTGCATCACAGCAGCTCCATGTGGAACATCAACAGACAAATATCAAGACACAATACATGAAAAAAACAAACAAACAACATTTGACATCTCAATCACTGAGAGAAGACATGCTCAAAGACCCTCTATCACAAATAGTATCAGGATGTTACTGGTGTGGTGTGGTGTGGAGTGATACTGAGCAGTATGTACCATGGCTGAAGACCTGTTGGGTAATTAAAGTTGTCTCATTGAAAGGTCTACGGATACCTTATTACACTCCATGACATGCGGTCAATTATACAGCATAAAGGATTATTACAGGGGGGAGTGTGTGGGAGAGAAACTCCCAGTGGAGGAAACACAGGGATTGTAACGTTTGCACTAAAACCTATAAAACACTACAGGAAAGAGAAAACCCCCCAAAAAAGCACGATAGGCCCCTCTTTAACAATGGTTCCTCTCTCTTTTCAGCTACGATGTCTCGATCCTCTCTTCCGCCTGTCACGATGGTTCCCTACTCCGCCACCCGGACCACCAGCACCCCTCCCTCTACGCCATGGTGCAGAAGGCCCCCCCCCACCACCACCTCGCTCCACCCACAGCGTGTAAGGGCGACATGGCGGTGATGATCGAGGTGAAGAAAGACGAGGCGGATCACGACAGGGACGGCTTTCCGTACGACACGCTGCACGTCTACGGATACGAGGGTCCCGAGTCTTTAGCCGAAAGCCTGAGCTCTTTGGGAACTTCCTCCACCGGATCCAACCTGGATTATGACTTCCTGAACGACTGGGGTCCGAGGTTCAGGACCCTCGCCGAGCTGTACGGCGTGGACGGACCTGAATACTACCATCAATACTAGATAGAGACCTTCTAGTGGATCAGAATATGCCAAAATGCACACACGAAACGAGTGGTGCAGGGATGACATATTTTTTTAAGTTAACATCGCAAGGGAGCTCCATCTACTAAGCGCAATCAGATTTTTTTATTAGATTTGGAAATATAAACCCATTCACGTTGTGTTCAGCAGGATATGGCCACGTTTTGACACCACTTTTAAGATTTTTAAAACGTAAATGCAATCTCCAGAGGTAAACAGCGAACAAAAAGGGAACAAGAAGCTAACAAGAAGCTAACAAGAAGCTAACGTATGCTAGCTACAGCACGGTCAAATTACTTCACGTCAACACTAACTAAACGCTAAACTAAAGGTGGCTAATATTCAGCTTGATAACGTTTAGTAGTCTTATTTAGACCTCATTTCTGGCTTCTAACCAAAAACAAGTAAAACAAAAACATTGACTTCGAGATGAGGCAACAGGAAGTGGTAAAATGCTGACTCATTCCCTGGTTTAAGGACACATTCCTGCACCACTCTATAGCCAAACGCATGCAAGGGACACACATTCACACACTAATAGAAGCAGGCTTTGACGCTGTACGAGAGCTTCAATTTCTTTGTTTTTTTGGAGATCTCTTTCTTCTTCTTCTTCTTTTTTGAGTTTGACATTTGCCTCCTCCTTCAAAGAGATCACACGCCATGAGAGAAAGTGAGAAGTTACTGCTTCACACGTGTGCAGGAGGATTGATTGATGGTGACAGTGTGAGATTTACACCCTGAGGAGGATGATGTTTTTTTTATTGTGTTGTGAAGTTTCTACACCATAACCCTTTTATTCCACCTGACAAAGACCCTAGTCGATTCGGATGAAGCTCCAGAGCAAGTTAACGTTGGATGATTGACGGGTTAATCAGGTCACTGCTGGCCGGAGATTTATTTCTCAGTTATACCAATTCATTTTTGTCATTTCGCATTTAATTAATGTCTTAGTTCCTTTATGCATAACCATTTTGCATTCCTTTTTCGACTGGATTGCAGGTTAATGTTTGGGTCTGTTTTTAAATGAGTTCCTTCTATGAACCTTTATCTATCTACATATACCAATGATGCATATTTCTATCTACATTTGGACAACTTAAAATGGACACATGACTTATTTTTACCAAAAAACTCTGCATTAAAACCACGCAGTCTTCAATTAACCCTCCTGTTGTGTTCGTGTCAAATCTGACCGATTTACTGCTTTCATCAATCATAACTTTTTTGTTTTACATTTGATTGCATTAAGGCTTTATGATATCCTTCACAGTAGACATTTGAACATATAAAATGNCGCCACTTATGATTAAAAAAATAATAATTAAAGGGAGGGAATCCTCATGACATGCATTTTTAAATAATTATCATCCGATAACACAGACCAGTCTCTGCCTGGCAGAGACTGGTCTGTGTTATCGGATGATAATTATTTAAAAATGCATGTCATGAGGATTCCCTCCCTTTAATTATTATTTTTTTAATCATAAGTGGCGACCCTTTTTCATTTTTGATTGTTTCTTATGTGGATTTGTAGTATTTGTGTTACTGTATGTTCAATAAAGGTGTATTTTTGCTACATCTTGAGACATTGCCACTGTACTGGCAGGGCCGATTTTTCGAGAGAGTGAGTGAGGGTGAGAGTGATAGAGAGAGAGAGAGAGTGAGTGAGTGAGAGAGAGTGAGAGAGAGGAACACAAAAAAAGACAGACTGTGTGATAACAGAGAGAAGAAGAACAGACTGCGTGATATAAACAAACAACAAATAGCGTGTGCATTCCATTTTCACTCTACAGCGAGAAGCTCATGGGGCTTTCCCTAACCTGTGTCGAGAGCTGGAGTTAAATGAAATCTCAGATTTGCCTTCTTAATAGTTTGTTTGGGTCCCTCACTTCCGTTTCGCTTCTCATGCACTGATTCGCTAAGCTGAACAGCCAATCAGAGATTTCTTTTGCCGACTGCCTTTGGCTGTTTTCGGCCGAAAAGACGTCGGCACGGCTGAAAAGACACGACGGTGTGGGACACAACAATCTGAGTAGGGCGTGTCGACGCTCATCGTCGGCCTGACGCCCACCGACGGACACAATCGGCTTGATGTGTCTGGGCCTTTAAACGAGAAACAGGACTGTAGACAAGGAGAACAATAATATTAGAGTTAAGATATATTTTTCTCAGCAGAACGAACAGAATGTGCTTTGAATTTGACCTCCTGCTTCAGCTTTCTGTCAAACACAACTCACTTGTGATGGAGTTCTTTAGAATGATAGTTTGTTTAAAGGTCACCTTTTTATGCAAAATCCACTTTTTCATGTCTTTTATACATAAAAATGTGTGCCCCGTCTACAGTTTTTTTTTAATTAACCAATCATCTCTAAGAGGGGCGTGGCCAGCAGCAACTCATTAGCATTTAAAGCTACACACAGAATCTGCACTTTTGAAACAGGGCTGAAACAGAGGGGTTTATGGGATACTATGATCTGTTTGGTGTTTCAGTCAAATACTTCAGAGACATGTTTTGTATATATCTGAGAACTATAATATACTGTTGAATAGTATAATAGGTGCCCTTTAAATTCTGATCATGCAATGGAACAATTTGATCAGTCAGTCATTTTTTTGCAATGATATATAATGAATGCATAATTTCTAAGTAAAGAAACGGAAAACAAGATGTTCTTGTTAATCATTTTAATGCTGGTGAAATACACAAGTCACTGGGTGCAGAACAGTACGAGATAGCAGGTTCATGTGATCTGATAGACGTTTATACATGGTAAGATGAGTAAATGAAAACCACCTGACATTAATCATTTAACATCTACTCTGCCACACAGGGAACTCTGGGTTGGCCTCTGAATCTCAGCACAGAACACATTTAGTTTGGGAATCTGGTCTCATTGGTCATCACAGCCACAATGGGATATTTAAAGGGTTCAACTGGAAACGCTTCTGACTGTTTACATGCCCTATGAACGGCGTGTCTCCCTGGAAACAGTGAGATTGGTCAAAGTTCACAGAGGTCAGATAAGCCTGCAGGAGCTCACCAACTCCAGCACCTTTATTTTTACAGAGAAACCAAATAATGGAAATGATGAGATTTTCACGCATTTTCCCTATGATGGAAAGTTGTTGCCAGAGGAGTCAGTTGGCTGAAAATATGTTTAGCAGTGAAAAAGCTGCTGGTTATTTGGCAGATGATAGTATCTCCATCTGGTTATCAAACACGCAAGTCTTTTGGACTTGATGTGTTGTTAATGGTCAGAGTAAGTATGGCGAGTGTTAGAGATGTGCTCCATTCTACCTTTTTGTATTGTTTTGTTGCTTTCTTTTATAGAAAGTTGTCTTTAGTTTGTTTTTGAGTTAGCTAGCGGGCGCCTTTTGCTTTTGAGGTTAGTAAACAACATCTTTGGGTTCGACAAGTCTTTTTTCCCCCTGGTTATTTAAACTTTTGTTACTCCCCTTTACCCCTAGTGTTGGGCAACGTCACATCGACCACAAAGCTTTGTGGAGCTACAGCGAGCTGCAAAGCTGCATCACATTATCGCCCTTCCACACTGAAAAAACTCACACATTGACTTACTGTATGTTGACTAATCTCACATAACTGTATTAGATTGGTTGAAAGCAATAGCATTAAGTTTAACCTAATATTATTTATTTAAACTTAATATTGCTTCCAACTAACCTAATACAGATTTATGTAAAATCCATTGACACAACACATTTAATTAAAGACAACATTTCAGTTTTTTCAGAGCATATTGCAATAAATATTGATCATAGCCCATTTAACCTGAGCATTATTGAATCATTGTTGTTGAGAAGTCCGCCAATTCATCCTGTTAGGAGTGTAGCTCCAAGAAGAGAGAAAGAGAACACTTATTAATAGTCGGTGTAATAAAAGTGGGTCTAACAGCAGAGGCCACATCAGATCACATGTCAGTCCTAGAGACGGGTCAGGAAGTCAGAGGATGGTTCTGGGTTGACTTGCGCTAAACGCCAGCATGAAGTGCTCCTCTGCTTAACTTCCTCATGGAATGCTGGGTTGATTCTACTGCAGCAGCTACCTGTATGTAGATTGAGATCATATGACAACAAATAAATAAAACCCTGCTGGATCCAGTTAAAACCGCAAATGCCTTCCACCATCCTGTAAGCACAGAGGGCTTGGAACAGGTGCAATGTAATAAAGAATATTGGGTACGCTGTGAGGTCAGAAGATGTTACAGATAACATGGTCAAACGCTTTGAAAGGAATATTAAAAGACTAGTTACAACATGCCACACTATATGGCTTATACACAGCCAGGCTGTAGAGAAAGTGGACCCCCCCCTTCACCACACAGATCACATCCAGAAGTTTTCATTGAGCCTTAACACAGAGGGAATGAAGGGAAGGGTAAGCCCATGAGGAATGAGGTACTGTACAAATGTACCTGATCAATTGGAATATCTTACATTGTAAATCATTATCAAGTAAAGAAAATGAAATGGCAGCTTTTACATTAAGTTACAAAAGTGTGCATGAAGAGAACGGCGAGGGTCTACCTGAAGGTGAGTCTTACAGAGCATGACATCGTGAGAGGAATATAGACGGGCCTCTGCCCAGGAATGACATGTGTCCTAAAGTCCTAAATAAGAATGAGAGAAGTGAAAATACTATGATTATATACAATCCCACTTCTTCATGTTCCACAAGTACATTTCCCATTTCTTTCCCCCATTTAGCGTGTTATAGACAGTAGGGGGGGGGGGGGGGGTGGGGAGCTGGACTCACCTACACACCATCATGCAACCAGCCTTCACTCTCACTGGAACTTCATGTTAAACATGTTCAGTTTATAGGATGAGCATTTTAGTGTGTTAATGTCCTGTGCCTTTTCAAAGCTTTGCGTTCTTCTGCATTGTGTCCGGAGCTTATGTTTGGAAAGAGCCTTTCTCAGATTGGTGTTTGAAGAGAAGAAGTAGGAATTATTCTGGCTTTCCTATCTGATCATTAACAAAGCAGCGGTGGAGAAAGTATTCAGATTCAGTCACCAAATGCACTATTACAAACACATCCTGAATGTACAATGCAACATAAAATCAGATTATGGAAGATTTCCCCTTCCTGTTGAGTCAGTTTGGCTGGATGAGGTAACATTACAGTTAAGGAGCCTGGAGCTCCTGATGAAATATGAATAAGACGGAGGTGTCCCACTGTACCCTCAGTAGATAAGACGAGTAGCAAAGCATGTTCATGTTTGCTTACCTCATGTTCTGTACACATGTTTGCTAAGGAGTCACTCACAGTAATAAAAACACTTCACACTACTTTACCATAGGTCAGACGCCCCCCAACAATCTTTAAACATAACTTAAAAGATCGTTGTTTTCCAAGAGTTCTAATGTACTCTGTCCTGTTAGTTTAAGACACATTACACAGAGACATCTTGTGGTGCATTTTTGCATCTTTTATACTCAAACAGTGTCTCCACTATCTCCAGTAAAACAGTCTTGACTCCTTGTATTGCTCTAATTACACATTGGAACAGTTAGAGATCATAAACCGTGTCTTTGCAGTACTTACTTTTACAGTACAAGCTGCCGAATGTCTTGAAAATATCCGCCTTTAGTGCAGTAACAAACACTACGAGTGAACTCATTTCACCACAGTGTTTCTTCTGATGCAGCTGTAAGGATTTGTGTTGTCTTTGTGAGCACCCAGCCAGTCAGACAGCTGCTTCAAATGTTTCCTAACAAACTGCAGGCAGCTGCTATGGATCTGAACGTCATGAAGAGTTTGATTAGACATGAAGAAAAGAAAGGGGAAATGTTCTTGATGGAAAAAAGGAAGACACTTTTCTGCAGGGCAGAACACATCATATGTAGAAGGCGTTGTTTCGGACAGAAATCAAAGCTGCCTTTGTGTTAAAGGCCACCTTTGCCATCCCGCCTGTGCTTCAGTGTTTTAAGAGGCAGATATGACTTCATCCATCTACATATTCAGGGTGTACAGGTGAGCTGGAGACGGGCAAATGGCAGTTCAAGTACAACACAAACAGCTAAACATGAGGTATGAGTCAATACTCCAAACAAACAACCTGATACCAGCATAGGGTACAAAAGTTCCATGCAACATGCATGTTTACTGTACACACTCAAGTATGATAATTATATCAAGAGGAAATGTCTAGTGTCTCACCGTATAAAGTAAAGATGTTCTGGACTTTTAGCACATGTGGAAATATAGATATCTATTTAGTTGATTAGAGTGGAGGAAATCTTTCCACATAAGAGCAGGGAGCCCCCGTTCTATGGGATTTTTTTTATGTCTAAACTGCTTTCACCAAGAGGGGCTGACTGTTGATTTACTCCTGCAGTGACACAGGAATCAAGGAATGTACATTAAACATAAATCGTGAATCAATTTAGCGATTATTAATCTCAGTGTGCTGATTGCTTTAGAGTTTGGATTGTTTAAAACCAAGGGACCGTGGGTCTGACCGGCAGCAGGCCGACGGGGTGACGGAGATCTCTCATCTCTCGGGTCAAAGGTCCTTCAGGGACTTGACGGCCTTGGCCAGGTTGCTGTAGAACTCGGCCATGCTGGAGGGGAAGAACGAGTCGACCACGGAGCGGGGGAGGAAGCCCCCCAGGTCGGTCTGGAAGAAGCTGAACACCTGGGTTTTGTTGGGCTCTCTAGAAGAAGAAGCACAACAACACGTCAGACACAGGACTGCAGTGAAGTCGGTGTGTTGGTGTGTTGTGTACTCACCCTGAGATGGGAACACAGATGCAACCACATGGATGGTTGAATCCTCTCACATAGCCAGACTGGGGGGGGCAGCTCGGGTGGCTCACATTAGTGGCTGTTGAAACACATGTTTACAGATTTGTATGCATCATATTGATCCTTCTGTCTGTGGTAATGTGGCTCTCCACCATATAAGCACACAACATAAATGGAGTTAAATCTATTCCCCAAACAATTTCTTTAAACAGCAGTGGCAACATTAGAGAGGCTGTATAATACTCATTTCCAGGTTCTTATAAGTATTTTGTGCCTCTACCTCTACTATTGTTCTCATACTGCCTGCGCTGCAGCACCTCTTTTCACCCTCTGTCTGAAACTAGAGCCCAGTCTGCTCTGATTGGTTAGCTGGCCGGCTCTGTTGTGATTGGTCAACCGCTTAGAGATGACCCGCCTCTAAGCCAATCAAGTACCATGTGTTAGCCAACAGAAGCTTGAGTGTGTGACAGAGTTCCCGTTAGAATATGTTTTCGCCGGTCAAAATTTGTGCTGGTCAAAGGTCTTCTTTGTTATTTATTGAGCTTTAAAACAAATTGATATGATTCGATATCAAACAAACTCATTATAGTAGATTAATTAACTATTCAAAAGTGTACAGTAACTTACAATAACACAGGAATAATAAACAGAGCGCTCTCTCCCTCTCCTGACAGCCCGTCAGTATCATGCAGCTGGCGGATCAGTAATGAGTGACCAGACAGTAAAACAAAACATATAACTAGTTACGGTAGTTTGAGAGGTAATTAAAATAGCTACGAGTGATATTCTAACCTGAAGTGTGTGTTTTGTTCCGCTCACTGCTGCATGTTATCATGCAGAGCTGCGTGTCGACTCGTCAGCAGCAGCTGATCTCTCTCTCCCGTCACATTAGACTTCACTCGCGTTTGTGTCCATATCGATCAGATCCAGCTAGTTCTAGCTAATGATATGACTACCTGCTTATTAGGGCTGCACGATTTTGGGAAAAAATCTAATTGCGATTTTTCGGAAAAATATTGCGATTCGATTTGCGATATTTGTTTTTAAGCGACCCAACGGAAATTTATTGTAAAATGCGGCCGTATCTCCAGCTAGGAAGGTCGTATCAACATGCTCCCGTCTCTAGCACCCCCGCAGCCCGAGCTACGAGTGAAATAACTAAACTTACATGAAACTTCTGTTGGGTTGCTTTAAAGTCAAGCTTCAGTTTCAGATTCACCCTGTAATAGAAACATGTGATGGAGCATTACTAACCTGACTCAGATGGTTTGATTCACCATCTAGGAAAGCTCCATTGGAAACCATTTGGAAAAGTATTTCAAAAATACTTGACAGGTGATTGGATCAATCTGTCTATCACCTTCTATCATGGGCCACTTCTGATTGGTTAACAATGGCTGGTACATGTGGAGCACAGCACTTCTGATTGGTGTGGATGAGTGACACACAAGAAGAAAAAAAAAGTAAATAAAAGNNNGAGCTTGGGTATTGCTGCTATCTCTCTTAAGGGGGAGGAGCTTGGGTATTGCTGCTATCTCTCTTAAGGGGGAGGAGCTTGGGTATTGCTGCTATCTCTCTTAAGGGGGAGGAGCTTGGGTATCACTGCTATCTCTCTTAAGGAGGGGCAGCTTGGGTATTGCTGCTGTCTCTCTTAAGGGGGAGGAGCTTGGGTATTGCAGCTGTCTCTCTTAAGGAGGAGGAGCTTGGGTATTGCTACTATCTCTCTTAAGGGGGAGGAGCTTGGGTATTGCTGCTATCTCTCTTAAGGGGGAGGAGCTTGGGTATTGCAGCTGTCTCTCTTAAGGGGGAGGAGCTTGGGTATTGCTGCTATCTCTCTTAAGGGGGAGGAGCTTGGGTATTGCTGCTATCTCTCTTAAGGGGGAGGAGCTTGGGTATTGCTGCTATCTCTCTTAAGGGGGAGGAGCTTGGGTATCACTGCTATCTCTCTTAAGGAGCTACAGAAGTTTCCCCCACACCACATACTATTGGAAAGGATGGGATATGAGTGTAACTATAAACGTGAATGCAGATTCCTCAGCATTCTCTCAAATTACGTTAATGAAGATTTTGAAGGTTTAAAAGCATCTCAACAAAACCTCAAATAACCTCCTGATATATTTATACCCGGTCAATTTGTTCGGCTTTGTTTGTCTTTGATTTTACAACACATCCATTTCCCTTCCTATTTCCTTTCCTCCAATTATCCCTTCACTTGTTCATCCCTCCCTTCCTACTTCCTTTCCTCCAATTATCCCTTCACTTGTTCATCCCTCCCTTCCTACTTCCTTTCATCCATTTATCCCTTCCTTTGTTCATTCCTACCTCTCTACATTCCTTCATCCCTCCCTTTCTACATCCTTTCCTCTCTACATCCCTCCTTTCCTACATCCTTTCCTCCCTACATCCTTTCATCCCTCCCTCCCTTCCTACATCCTTTCCTCTCTACATTCCTTCCTCCCTTCCTACATCCTTTCCTCCCTACATAATTTCCTCCCTTCCTACATCCTTTCCTCTCTACATCCCTCCTTTCCTACATCCTTTCTTCCCTACATCCTTTCATCCATCCCTCCCTTCCTACAGCCTTTCCTCTCTACATTCCTCCCTTCCTACATCCTTTCTTCCCTACATCCTTTCATCCATCCCTCCCTTCCTACAGCCTTTCCTCTCTACATTCCTCCTTTCCTACATCCTTTCCTCCCTACATCCTTTCATCCCTCCTTCCCTTCCTACATCCTTTCCTCCCTACATCCCTTCATCCATCCTCCCTCCTTCCTTCCTTCCTCACCCCTTCCCCTTACATTCAATATCTCCTGTATATCAATCTTAACCTACATAATGATGTGTGTGGTCCTTGCTAGTAAAACCACACCACTGTGTATTACCCGTCAGTCGGCCATTGGTCCATACTGAAATAATTATATGTTGTGAACAGATTGACATCACACTTGGCTCAGAGGTCTATATTGCTGAAAAGTTGAATCATAAAGACTTTGGATGATCCTTGTGAAGTTTTGATCTGTACTGCCCCGAGCTCAATTTAATTATTCAGTGAAATATTTCGACACCTACCAGATGGATTGCAATAGTCATGGTTTCCAGATGTTATATCCTTCTGATTGTAGGGTCTTCTCTTTTAGTGCAGTCATGTTCAATCAATATATTTCAAATGTAAGCTATAGTTGTTTCTCATTTTTCGTCCTGTTTTTTTTCTTATCCATCCTTAAATGTAACCTAATGTATATATTTCAACACCTACCAGATGGATTGGCATAAGCCGCTTTCACACCAAGTAGTGCTGTACTTAGTTCCCAGCACTTAGTTCCCCCATGGAACTAAAGAGCCGATCGCGTTCAGACCGGAATAAGTTCCCTGAGGGAAGATTACACAAATGAAGCCGCTGATGTCACTTCTTCTTCTTCTGCTTTGGGTTTACTGGCAGGCCGCAAACAACTTCACGGCGTATACTGCCACCCGAAGTCCCCGGCCGGAAGTCCCCGGAGTTGGGGCCCTTTTTTCTCCAAGTTTTGCCTGTGCTATTAGTGCTTCTACTGAAGCCTTCCGAGTAAATTGCCAGAATGCCGACACCTCCTCATCTCCCATGTTTTTTTTTGTGTTGCCATAAGTTAGTCTCTCTCCGTTGATGCACGGGGCGAATGCTAATGCTAATAATGCTAATGCCAGCAAATACAATGGCGGCTTCACAAAACTTTTCAGAGTTTTACGGGGCGTGGTTTGCAATTCGCCCAGCCAATCAGAAATTGGTACTTATTTCTCCCCAGGATAGTCCCACCTTTCTAGCAGGCGGGGGTAAAAAGTTCTCTGAACTAATTTCTCTTTTTGGTGTGAACGCAAAATTCCAGACACTATAGGAACTAAACGGGAAAAGTACGGGGAAAAGTACTCTGGTGTGAAAGCGCCTAATGTCATAGTTCCCAGATTTTAAGTAACAATGGTGACTTTCCTTTTTAGTGCAGTCATGTTTAATCAATATATTTCAAATGTAAAGCTGTAGCTGTTGCTGTTTTTTCCTTTCAAAATAATGTAAAATGAAAATCAATGTGCTTTCTCTCCTGCACAACGGAGATGCAATCCCCTGTCAGCTTGATGTTATTGTAAAAAGCACCACAGTTACACAGTGTGCGGTATATTTCTTTGACATCCTTAGCCAGGATGAGTTTATTATACACAGAGAGTCGTCTGCAAGTCCTCAGAGCCATTTTCTCTCATTATTTTCAATATTTGCTTTTGTGCATTCTAGACAGCACTTATGGTCCCAGAAAGGCTCTAAATCCCCCGTCTTGGCTGCGGAGAACCAAGGCTCGCTTTGTAAAGTTAAAATAATTTCAACTTTCGGCAACAAAGCACCAAGCCTCAAATGGGGTTTCAGCTGTCGCATAGCAACAAGTGGCAAAAAAAGTGCTTTGTGCGAGCAGCGTTTAGAGCAACAAACACAAAGGGAAAAAAAGGTAAATATGCTCCATGAATACAAAGACTTACTGCCATAGTCTCTGATGGAGAAGTTGGAGTTGTCGCTGGCCAGGCTGAAAGTGAAGGAGGCGGGCTGGTCGTCTTTATCTGTCGCTCTCAAGGTGCCTATCACCTGAGGAAAAAACACAAATCTGATTAATTCATGCAGGAAACAGACATTGCTTATACTAAATCAAAATGTATACAGCATGCGATTCCATGGGGTTACTAAAATTACATATATTATTGACATATACAATGTAAATTACATTTCTCCATCTGTTCAATATTGTGTGGAGTATGTGTGCTCAGGAAACACACAGAAATGTAATTAATCAATACTGGAAACAGACTTTGTTTATACCACGTCTAAATATATACAGTATTGTTTGGGAAATGAGCACAATGCAGTTTATACACATACTGCTGACATATGCAACTCAATGTAAATTACATTCCTCCATCTGTTCAAGATTGTTGTTGAGAAGCATTTACTACACATGCCATTTCAGTTTTTCTCTGTGTGAAACAGCAAACAAACCAACACTGTATAGAAATTATTTGAGCTCTGAGCTATTTTGTTCCACCTACTTTAGCTGCGTCTTTTACAATTTAAAAATAGGAGAGAGGCATTGCAGCATCTGAAGACACTAAAGACCCTACCCAAACTGAATTTTCATGCATTTGTGTGTTATTTTTGTTAAAACTTTCACCCTTTTTCTCCAAGTTTTGCCTGTGCTATTAGTGAGGTTCCTGTTTAAAGAGTCCTCTCCTGCTGATGTTCAGGTGTATATCAGTATGTAGTGTCTCTACTTTAAAGAGTCCTCTCCTGCTGATGTTCAGGTGTATATCAGTATGTAGTGTCTCTACTTTAAAGAGTCCTCTCCTGCTGATGTTCAGGTGTATATCAGTATGTAGTGTCTCTACTTTAAAGAGTCCTCTCCTGCTGATGGTCAGGTGTATACCAGTATGTAGTGTCTCTACTTTAAAGAGTCCTCTCCTGCTGATGTTCAGGTGTATACCAGTATGTAGTGTCTCTACTTTAAAGAGTCCTCTCCTGCTGATGGTCAGGTGTATACCAGTATGTAGTGTCTCTACTGTGACATGTCTATATCATAATAAAAGATAAGAAAACCTGCAAAACATGTTTCTCTTACCGTATTGGTGCGGTCGTTCTCACATACGAAGATGTCATCCACATTCAGTTCAGGCTTGTTGTCGTTGACGTCCTGAACTATAATGTTGACTTTCACAAACGACTCCAAACCTGCAGAGAGACGTCAGCACGAGATTAGCCGACATTTAATGACAGATGTTTTATCACAGGAGCTAATTTTATAACGAACTTAAGCTGGTCTTCACTATCTCTGACAATGGAAATAGACATTTCAATGAGCAGGGATTACTCAGAGCAGAAAACAATCCCTACATGTTACTCTCATGATGGATTTAATCTAATTTAATATGTGAAAGGGTACTATAGAAATAACAGATGAGAAATGAATTTAACATCCATCTTCAACTCTCAAATTAAACCAATTGTAAACCAAGTTTTCTTTATTATGTTGTCATTTTTTTTGCGTGCTCTTCACACAGCTTGTTTGTAATTAACCTTAACGAGCACAGTGATACGGATCAGGTGTGATATCTCCAGCTTTGATTAATCTCTTTGAGGTCAAGTGCCTCAAAGGATTTCTATTTGTGAGCTTTTTGTTTTGTAGCTTATTGTACATCACTGATGTTTTAAATATTCATCTTTTGATAAACGTGTGGGTCTCTTTCATGCCTCCTGTACTGAAACTGTCTTTAGTAAAGCAAATGTACTGTACATCCAGGACAAGCTCAGGGGACCATTGTGTTCCTTAAACATGGTGACAAGCCACTAAAATAGATCTCTGGATTTCACTCTTTGCAGAGCTAAAAATATATATAGTTTGGTTTGGGAGCTGCGATTGAACAAAGAGAGCCTCTAATGTGATTTAGGTGCTTACTCTCTGCTTCACGCGTGGCACGACCAGGTGTTATATATTAAATCCTTAAAGATCCATGTTAATGTGGTACACTCAGAGTTTGGAGAGTTTAATAAATCAGACGTCAGCTTACTGAACTGCCAAAGAAATTGAATAGAGTGGTGCAGTGATGAGGTATTTTTTTAGGTCGAATCCGTACGTAAGCATAGCAAGGGCTCCCTTGACACAAAGCCAACGGGATTTTAATGAATCTTACAGAAAATAATCTCTGTGGCAAACAAACGTTCATGATACTTAAAGGTTTTGTTCAGCAGGATAATCTTCACATATTAACACCTCAATTTTTGAAGTGACAAGCTAACATTAGGCTATAAAGGAACTACAGCACGGTCACATGACTTCACGTGACCACCGCTAAGCTAAAGGCGGCTAATGTTGGGCTATAAAGGAACTACAGCGCGGTCACATGACTTCACGTGACCACCGCTAAGCTAAAGGGGGCTAATGTTGGGCTATAAAGGAACTACAGCACGGTCACATGACTTCACGTCACCACCGCTAAGCTAAAGGCGGCTAATGTTGTCGGTAAAGACGTTTAGTCATCTCAATGAGACACTTGTTAGCAACTTACATTTTTAAATTCACCTTTGGGGTATTTACTTATGTGTTCTATGTCATAGTACAACATCTCTTCAGCTTGTGTTAACCAACTTATTGCAGGCTAACAACCAAAAACACATTCAAGATGGACTTCAAGACAAGGGAACAGGAAGTGGTAAAATGCTGATTCATTCATATGTTTTACGATCATTCCTGCACTACACTCCCATCCCGGAATACATCCAGAAGAGTTGAACAACAACAAGAGAACACACTGTTTTTTTTGGCCTTTGTAATCTCCGCCTGAATGCACTTTGCCGTTGTTACAGAACACAGATGGTTTTAATTTTTGATCTGAGGCTCTATTGTTGAAGGATTAATAGGCCTACACTTGTGCAGCTTGTGTGTGTGTGTGTGTGTGTGTGTGTGTGTCTGTATGTGTGTGTGTGTGGGCGTACCACTTGGCTCCTCCTGAGCTTTAACTTGAAACATGTGTGTGGCCTCCAGCTCTCGGTCCAGCGTCCTCTGGGTGGAGAGCTGACCTGTGAACGGGTGAATTCCGATGGGGCAGTCCTTATCCAAGATGGAATACCTAAACAGAGGGAAAGAGTATTAAAGGTCCCCTATTATACTGTTTTTCATCAATATATTGTAGGTCTCAGATATATACAAAACATGTTTCTGAAGTGTTTGGCTCCAAATACCAAACAGGTCTTTGCAGCATTACCCATAATCCCCTCTGTTTCTGCCCTGTTTCCAAAGTGCTGATTCTCTGTCTGTTACTTTAGATGAAAAATAAGGAGCCCCTCCCCACGCCCCTCTGAGAGACATTTGGTTAAAAAGTCAATGGTGCTCTAGGAGGAGATTCAGGTGATAAGGGGGGGGGGTTACCTTGGTTGCTGATTGGCTAATGGTTACACAAGACAAAACATCGTTATGACATCATAAAGTGGCCAAAATCTGATCAGCTCATTTTCAGACAGGTTTTTATAGAAATGGATCAGGACAAAAAGAGAGAGAATCTTTGTTCCTGAAACTTTCAGAATCTCTTTCCACAGAGGGGACACATGTTGATGTAGAAGAGACATGAAGAAGAGGGGACACATGTTGATGTAGAAGAGACATGAAGAAGAGGGGACACATGTTGATGTAGAAGAGACATGAAGAAGAGGGGACACATGTTGATGTAGAAGAGACATGAAGAAGAGGGGACACATGTTGATGTAGAAGAGACATGAAGAAGAGGGGACACATGTTGATGTAGAAGAGACATGAAGAAGAGGGGACACATGTTGATGTAGAAGAGACATGAAGAAGAGGGGACACATGTTGATGTAGAAGAGACATGAAGAAGAGGGGACACATGTTGATGTAGAAGAGACATGAAGAAGAGGGGACACATGTTGATGTAGAAGAGACATGGAGAAGAGGGGACACATGTTGATGTAGAAGAGACATGAAAAAGTGGATTTTGCACAATAGGTGAACTTTAAAGTTAAGTTACATTATTTATTTATTTTAACATTTGCATACCGTATGGTCTTATTAGCTCTGTCAGGGTCTCGGGCTTTCACTGATCCGATGTTGTTCACCGTACGTTCCTCCATCACATTGAAAGTGTAGATGGGCTGTGAGAAGAGTGGAGCCTCGTCTACATCCAACACCTTGATGTTCACCTGTGGATTTAAATTCATTCACAACAGTTTTAAGATTGATCTCAGATTTGTAATGTAGATATAAATGGAAATTGTGAGGACAGGATGTGTTTACCTGAGCTGTGGTGGCTGCACTGTTCTTGTTATCGGCGGGGAAAAGCAGGTTTTCTCGCACCTGGACAGTGAAGGTGTAGATGCTCTTTGTCTCGTAGTCCAGAGCCTGGGGAAAGAGGAGAATGGCAATCAAAAACATTACTTTGAGATAATCATTATGACCTTAGACTTCTTTTGAGCTCTTTTCCTAACAGTTTAAATGCCGTAATATTGTTTTTCCTGTCTTGACAAGACCAAAACAGGACTAAAAATGTACACTAAGCATTGTTCAATTGTTATTCCGCAGCTTATTTGAATACTCAATTCTGATTCGTCAATTTGGTCATTACAGTGGTTGTTCATTACTGCTAACAGACCGTTGCTAAGGAGAACAGACTGTTGCTAAGGAGGATCAAGGGACTATGTGCAGTCATATCAACCCGCAGAAAGGAAACCGGTTAATTTAACGTCATCTTTGGACAACAAACATTTGTTTTAGTCCATCAGAAAATCATTTTAATTTGCGTTGCAGTTCCAGACTCCAGATCAGTTTTTCATGAAGTATTTAAAGCAGTAGATTTTATAAGATATTTTGTTTTTTTTCAGCTATCATGCGAGGCTCATACCTCTTTAACATGCACCTCATATTAATGATTTTTTAGTTTTGATCCAGCTTGAAATTCTTTCTATCCATTGAAGAAGTTAAGGTGTTTTAATATTTCAAAATCTAAATTGCCACGATTTGTTGGTCTATATTTTTAGACCATTTTGCACTTTATATGTTCACCTGCATCTCCTATCGTTATCCTCAGTGGATTCACACCTGCGTCTTAACACCAAGGACTCCCTGTCTTTGCCAGGTGTAAAAAGGCTTTAAATGTGACAAAATCCTGGCTCACACTCTGGATTTAAGAAACCCACTAAAGTGCCATATTTTTCCCTTCCATGCTAAACATGTTACCATGCGTGAAAACACCCTTTTTTCCAAGCCTGCACAATCTGAGACTCGCATGGTGTTGCGAATGCACTTTCATGTCGACAAATAAATGGCAGCGAGCTTACTTTCACATTTCTGCTTATCGTTTTTCTCCCGCTGAATGAGAAACAGCAGTAAAATGTTGTTTCTGGCGGAGTGTTTTATCTGTGTATGGGACCACCACAGGTAGGCAGGGATATTCTGCTAACTGGATTATTCATGGTTACAGGGAATCTCAGTCGCAGGGTATCAAAGGCATGTGTAAACAGCTTAACAAGAATAAGACCTTCACCGCAGTGTGGACGATAGCTGGATGCTCTGTAAACACAGCCGGGAGGAAGATGAGGAGCTACAGAGCTGAGAGGAAGATTGTGCTGTGATTTTAGGCCATGCAACGTTGGTACAAGCTATTACATTTCATTAGGATAAATGTTCAGCTCTCTGATCTCCCAAAAGCTGCAAAAATTCCTGCAAGCATAAATAGCTTCCCTTGCCAGAAGGAGGTCATGAAGTATAGGTTTTTAATTATGTGTTCAACAGAAAAATTCCCTGCTAAAAATGTCCGAAATGACCAATTTCCACGAAGCAAAACACCAAACATCAACAAGTCAAGGATACATTTGTGTTGCATGGATTCATATCTCAAGATAAACCACAGCCAATGCGGCCAAATACTCAAAATAAAGGAAGGAAGCCATTACATCTTGAAATAAAAGGTAACATGAAGAGGGAACTAAGTTTAAGGGAACTACATAGTGTTTTTATTTGTCAGACAGATAATAGATTATTATCTTCACGGTCATCTGTATATTGTTCTTGTTCTCGAATGCTGATTTATTTCTATTTCTATTTCGAGATGTTTCTATTTTAGAATTTTTGATTTCTTCTATTTTAGTTATGCGCAATGGCTTGTTTTGTTTTATGCTGCTGCAACGAAAACATTTCGCAAATTGGGATTAATAAAGTACATCTTATCTCATGTTATTTTTTCTTATCTTCTCCAACTCAATCACAAATTGAAGAATATGACAGCAAACTCAAAGTAACAAAATCCTTTATATTATATATTATTACATATCTATTTATCCACATTGCCTCCTACCTGTTTGAGCATGAGGTTTCCGTCCTTGTTGGGGCTGAGTTCGATGTTGAACATTTTGCTGTTTTCATTGAGAATAGTGAAGATGGGCTCTTTGTTCTGAATCTCGTCTCGATCCTCCAGCTCCAGAGTGCCGATCTTCTCGTTCAGCTTGTGGTCCTCTGGAACCTGCAGTTCATAAATCTCTGAAGACAGAAAATGGAAATCACATTACATGTCACTTGTTAGACGGTTTTATCCAAAGCGATTTATATACATTCAGTACTGTGGGCAATCCCCACAGGAGCAATTTGGGGTGAAGTGTCTCAGGGACACAACGACATGCTGACTGCAGTGGGACTCGAACTTGCTACCCCCTGATTCAAAGTTCAGCACACTATTCCACTGAGCCACAGCCTCCCAATCAATGTGAATATGAGACGGTCAATGTGTTCATCAATCAAATAATCAAATGTTATTGATACAGCCCAATATCACAAATAACACCTACATCGTGGTCTCTACAGTGTATAAAGCATACATCACCCTCTGCACTTGGCACAAATAAAATCTCAGAAAGAAACCCCAAAATTAACGGTGAAGAAATGGAAGAACAATTGGAGAGGAACCGACAGTCATGCAATAGATGTCATGTGAATAGATTAAAGGAGACGCTAAAAGTAAAACATAGAAAATCCAAAGGACAAAAAAGATAATGTGTTCATGTATTTATAAAAAACATTGCTCTAAGTCAGGGGTGTCAAACTCAATTTCATCACGGGCCACATCAGCATTATGGTTGCACTCAAAGGGCCGGTTGTAACTTTAAGACTATATAAACATACATATATAAATATTTAATATAAAATAATGTATTATATTACATTATTGCCTCTGCATTGGATTATTATCGGACAGGATAAATAACTACGTCTGAAAGAAGAAGTCAAGGGCAAATAAGTTTAAGTCTCTTCAGTGAGAATGTCACAAAATGATTAAAAAAGTCAAAATCAAAACAAAAAAATAACAATTAAAAGAAAATTCTGAGAAAAAGTCAAATTCTGAGAAAAAGTCAAATTCTAAGAAAAAGGCATATTTTAGATGCATTGTGGGAAATGTAGTTCATGGACATCGTGCTTCTGTAAATCGGCATGTAACCGTATAGTAAACATGTTACATTCTTTCAGAGCTCTTCCGGGCCACATGAAATGAAGCCGCAGGCCGGATTTGGCCCCCGGGCCTTAAGTTTGACACCCCTTATCTAAGTGGACCTGATCTAAGTGGATGTCAGCGATCTTTCAGGTGCTGCCAATAAATAATTCTGTATAAAAACCAGAACAAAGTTATATGCAATGTGTCGAAAACATGACCAAATGTTCAAAAATATTTCTTAAAATAGGTTTAATATAACTTTAGCACTTCACCTTGTTAGCAATATAAACTATTTTGCATCTTATAATTTATTACTTCTGGCTGCTACTTCACTTCAGACTGTAACAACGTGCAATAATCATTGTTATGTGCAATGAACACCTCTCTCGAATGATTGCTATTTCAGTATTATAGGATTCCTTACTTTTTACATTACTGCTACTTCAACCTATTTCTCTTTTATGTTATTAACATTTGTTATCCTCTTTATTTAATGTTAGTTTACTTTCTATTTATTGTTGCCTATCATCTGCAATGTCCCTTTCGGTGTTCCCCACTGAGACTCAAATGAACGTACTTCGGGTGAACGAGGCGTAGTTGTCGTTGGCGTCGGTGATGGAGATGGTGACGGAGGTGGTGGATGTGCTGCCGGAGGCCATTCCTCTCATATCCTGAGCTTTAACCACCAACACAAACCGACTCTGGCTCTCCCGGTCCAGCGTGTTTGTCTTGCAGCTGATCACACCTGCAGAGAACAGAGAAGGTGTTATCTTTTGAGGCCAACTCTGACTCATATTCAAGTAAAAATAGCTCGTGCATCTACACCTCGCCTTCATTAACTTACACCTCGCCTTCATTAACTTAAAAAAAGACAATGTTGCCGCGGGGTAATGATGTTTTTTGGACGTCAGTGCGGCGAGCTTTTCAGCAGAGGTGGGAAGTAGTGGAGTTCAAATACTTTGTTATTGTACTTAAGTTCAGTATCATCACACAGGCCCATAAGACTGTTAAACACCTTCACTTTTGAAATAACATACATAACATTCATCTGTTTGCAACTCACATATATCATATCAATATTCCAATTACTGTATATAACTATTCTTCACAGTTTCTATCATATTCTGTTTCTATTATATTCTATTTTATTTTATTTGTTTTATTGTGTTGCACTGTTGGAGGAGCCTGTGACCTAAGATGTTCACTCTCATAACTACACTGTAGCTATCCACACATGACAATAAACGCCTTGAAACTTGGGCTTATAGTCCGAAAATTACGGTAAGTACATTTCTCTGGTATCAGTACTTTACTCCACTACTTATTTTTCTGACGACTTTTTACTTTGACTTCTTACATTTTGAACACAAATACCTGTACTTTCTACTTCTTACATGTTGAGCACAAATACCTGTACTTTCTACTTCTTACATGTTGAACACAAATACCTGTACTTTCTACTTCTTACATGTTGAACGCAAATACCTGTACTTTCTACTTCTTACATGTTGAACACAAATACCTGTACTTTCTACTTCTTACATGTTGAACTCAAATACCTGTACTTTCTACTTCTCACATTTTCCAAACAGGCTGGTTCCTTTAGTCTGAATGTGTGTTTGGTGGAGTGATCATTATTATTTAGAGTCATTGCGTGCCTATTGATTTGAACACGATCCGTGTATCCATCATTTCCTGGTCTTCTCTAAAGAAGAGGGACCAATGAAAACGTTGTCATGTTGCCGTTGTTCAGCATGGAAACATTCATTAGCTAACAATTACATTATTGTTCTATTAATATAAAGGGAGGTCAGGTACTCTTTAAAACAGCTGCTAGTTATGGGTACTTTTTACTGAAGTACATTTCAAAGCCTCTTTACTTTTACTTGAGTAAAGAAGTTTAGTCAGTACTTCTACTTTCACCAGAGTATTTTTAAACACGAGTATCTGTACTTCTACTTGAGTAAAGCATGTGTTTATCTCTGCTTACCTGTAGTGCTGTGGATTTCGAAGGGAGAAATGGCTCTGTCTTGGATCAAAGAGTACTTGAGTTCTCCGTTTGCGGTGGTGGGGTCGTCAGCATCGGTGGCCCTCACCTCAATTACTTTAGTTCCTAAATGCAGATCATAAAACAAGATAAATCCATGCAGAAATATCCAAATGTCCGTGCATCCTGGCATTTGAAATGATTATACGTTCTGATTGTTTGCTATAGTGGTATTAAAGTCCTTAATGTGCCTTTTTTTCACAGTATGATGTGCTTATGACTGGTTTTGACAGGTGTTAACATTATGTTTAATTTGTCCTCGTCTTTTCACAGTCAAGTCTATTTTTATACTTAATTATCACTGGGTGGTAAATGTCAAATACTTAACAACAGCGGAAAGATTGTTCTGCAAGAAAATGCTTCATGCTTTTATGGTGTGTACATCTGTGGATTAACTGGATAAAAACGGCATTTCCATACCATTACATTGTATTGTCAATTATGGTTTAAGGAATATTTTTAACATATCTGAGATATGTTGGTCAGGCTGAAAAATGTGGGTCGAAGACACAGGACTTACGTAATTGACTCATGTAAACATTTGGACATAAACTAAGATACATAACATATTTTTGAAGCCAAACCATGATGTTCAAGTATCATCTATCCTGTTTTGTTGTCGAAATCTAAAATGTGAACCACATCTTTAAAACTGTACCATCACCCTGGAGAAAAATACATTTCCCGTAGAGAACTGCCATTTTGTTTTAATGGTACCATAATTGTTATAGAGTAAGGTTGCTAATATACAGCTATACCAATGATGACTATTGGATTTTATTGAGCTCTTTCATTAAACAACTTCCAATTTACCAACTTCCAACTGGTTATATGTTACTTTCCACAAGCCGGGACGTAACAACGGTAATACTTGAAATAACTAACGACCTAATTTGACATCTACATGTTCACATTAGTGAGGAACCTTTTTCTGACGATCTTTTGTGACGTTACTCACCTATCGTAGACCTCTCCATAATGGATCCATTATATGTTTTGGGGAAAACTGGAGTGTTGTCGTTGATGTCGGTCACTTGAACAACAAATTCTCCGGAATCCTCTATCAGCTGATTGTTCCCGTCGAACATTGTGGCGGTCAGATGATAAGCGTTCTTCTCCTCTCTGTCCAGAGACCTGGAGACAAACAGGTCTCCCTTGTTATCCACTTGGAAGATGGTGTTCGCTCCTTCACCCTCGATTTTGAAGCTCTTCACATCCACTCTCTGGCTCGACTTTAGCTGCGGATGAAAGAAAATAAAAATACAGTTTTGTGGTTTTTCTTTCCCAGCTGGTCCTGGAGTGACGACTTGAAATCAACAACCTTCCAGCTAATTCTCTACAAATAAACTGAGTATTCTCGAGAAATCCCTCAAATATTCATCAAAGAGATGGTTAGCAACAAGTTAATGGCCTAGATTCGGGGCATCATTAAAACTGAATGGATGAGACAAAAATACAAATTGAAGTCGATTAATGGAGGTTTAAAGACTGAACTGTAGAAACACAGGACCAGGAAGTAGACAACAAACATGAGGAGGATTCTTGTTTAAAGGGGACCTATCATGCTAAATGTACTTGTGTACGTCTTTTATACATGAATATGTGTCCCCGGTGTGTCAGGGAACTCACCAAGTGTCAGAAAACACAACCCTCTCTCTTTTCCTCCATACCCAAATCTCTAAAAACGGGGCTGCAACGGATCTGATACAGACTGATACAGATTTGAAAATTCTCTGACGTCAGTGAAGAGGAGCTCCGCCTATATGGCCAACTCTCCACCAATCAGGGGAATGAGAGGTTGCGTGGCATGGTAACAGCATGGTAACAGCATGGTAA